GTGAGAAAGATGTGACAGTCTACTCTGTAAGGATTACAGCCTTAGGATCCTAAAGGGCAGTTCCACTCCATCCTATAGGGTTGCTCTATGAGTCAAAACTGACTCAAAACAACATGTTTGGTTTTGGGAGCTAAAACTTAAACATATCTTTTTTGGGGATACAATTCAACCCACAAGAACAATCTTGAAGCAATTAGTATTAAAATAAATACTTTTAGCAATTTATGTTCTCATCTTTTCAAAACAATTATAGTGTCTCTGATATGACTAGTTCATCACAAACAAATTTTAACCTTACCCAGAAAAAACACTTTATTATCCCTAAATTATCCTCATTAACATGTTCTATGTGGTACTGTAGGATCTTACTCCTGTTGACCTCTCTGGCTTCATTTCTCACTAATTCAGCTACATTAACCTTTCAGGTTGCAGAAAAAACTAGTTTTCCTCCCACTATAAGCCCCATCTCTACCACCATTCACTCAACAATTTGCTGACCCAGCACCTCTTCTACACACACACACACACACACACACACACCCCAACTAGGAGTCTATCTGGTACCTGCTACTCGTACTTCAGCTTAGATAGCACTTCTGATTCCTCACTCCCTCTAAATGCTCAGTATACTACTACCCTGGGTTTTCCACTAGATAGGACACTCCACAAAGGCTGGGAAGCTGTCTTGTTCACCAACCAATACAGCATCTACCACAAAAATTTTTGAGTAAGATTCTAAGAAACAAAATAACTTGTGAAAGGTCACACAGACTGGTTCTCACTTCATTTCTATTTCCATCATATATGCAATTGCTTATTTTCCACAAAGAATTTGAAATGGCTATTATAGGAGCTCTGGTAGCATGGTGCCTAAGGCACCTGACTGCTAACCAGAAGGCTGGCGGTACAAGCCCACCAGCCACTCCTTGAAAGAAAGGCTGGGCAATTTACTTCCATAGTGATACCACCTTGGAAACCCAAGGAGGGGTCGTTATGAGTTGGGTCAGACTCAACGGCACATAACAATCACAACATTTCTGTTTATGATTACAGGAAAAAAAATTTTTTTAGGTTTAAAAGAACCAATATATCAGTTGACAGTATAATAATAAATCCCCAGATGGACAAAAAAATTTAGGTAAACAGAACAAAAAACTTTAAACTATTTTAAATAATAAAATTATCGGTGGTGGTGTTACTGTTATTCTTTGACATGTTTTGTGTATTAAGGATTAAAAAAATGAGTTAATTTGTGATTTTCTAATAGTAATTTCTGGTGTCATTGAAAACAGATTCTCAGCATGGAAGAAAGGAGCTATGAATACAATACCAAAGAGAGTATTATATAGTATATAGTTGTTGTTGTTGTTGTTGTTGTTGTGTGCCGTCGAGTCAAACCTGACTCATAGCGACCCCTCCTTGGGTTTCCGAGGCAGTATCACTACAGAAGTAGGATTGCCCAACCTTCCTTCCGAGGAGTGGCTGGTGGGTTTGAACTGCCAGCCGTCTGGTTAGCAGGCAAGTGTCTTAGCCACTATGCTACCAGAGCTCCCTAGTATATAGTATAGCTCTCAATCTGAACTGAAAATACCACTACGAGCTAATGATATATTTTTTAAAATCCCTAGTTCTGTGAGTGAAAAATCTAACAATGACTATCTCAGTAGAAACAGACACTCCTAGCTCTTAGACTGTGCTCCCCAAATAGCACTTCCCACTAAAAGGAACAAGAGTTTCTTGGAAAAATGGTTGATCTAGGAATGGTGTAAGAACTGCACAAGATCAGTCAGGAACATCTTTTTATACCATTAAGCTAGGACACTACTGAAGTCTACTAAGGTTGTATCAAAAGGATTCATGAGCCAATGAAAAGGCTCCCACTAGCCAAAGATGGGACAATTTGAGCATCAATAAGGATAATAACTGAAACAGACTGCAACACATCAAATATATTTAAATCGATAAACTTATGATACTTAAAAAACCAAAACAAATCAATCTTTCACTTTTGGAAGAAACTAGTGAACCAAGTCAAATAGCTATAAAAAAAAAAAAATACACAAATAGAAAAGGAAAGTATCAAGCATTTACCTTGCCTTTTCTAAAGGAAGCTACCACCAGGTAACTAAATATTAGACAAAGGTAAGTGTCTCTTTATAGAAGTATTTTAGCAAATAAGTAAAAAGAATGATGAAATGATAAACCACTTTGCAACTTTGAATGAATTAATGAATCTAGGCATTGATCGTCAATGGCTAGAGACAAAAAGAGATATAATGAGACACAATATGCTTTATGATGGGAAAAAATACCACCTATGAATACTTCTTGCCAAAATAATTAACCAAACAAGTAAAGTAAGAAGAATTAAAATCTGAATTTGATCAGGCTTCTAGCTACAATGATCAGTTTATAGGACATGAAAGGGCAAAATGTTAAATGGCACTAGACATAAGCAAAATCCAGAATGTGAAAACTCTGAAGGACTAAATATCTAGTTTCTTCCATAAATAAACTGTAAAGCAAAATAAAAAAGGGCAAATAAAAATTAGAAGAGGCTTAAGAGACATAGCAGCCAAAATAGAGCAGACATAATTTGGGTCCTTATTCAAATAAACAAACAAAACATATAACATTTATGAAACAATAATTAGAAATGTGAACACTGGATATTTACTGGATATTTGAAGCTATTAAGGACTTAGTGTGCTTTTTTTTTTAAAGTTATGACAATGGTATTAAGATTACGTTTAAAGTATGAGTGCTACCTTTTAAAGATAAATCTCAAAATATTTAAAAGATAGATGATATCATGCCTAGGACTTGTTTTTGAATAATAAGAGAAGTGAGTAGGTATATGGATAAAGCAGGACTGATGAGATGATAATTGGTTGAAAATAGGTGATAAGTTCATTTATTGTTTTTTTCTACTTTTGTGTATGTTTCAAAAAGAACAAAATACAACCACTACCTTTCCATTACCAAAAATAGGCTGAGATTTCTAGAAAAGTTAATTTATGGAGATGTTTTCTATTGGTGTTAACAGTAGTCATTATTGTATTAATTTGACTGTGTCATTATAGGACTAAATTATCTAGTGAAAATATTTTAAAAATTATTGGTCAAGTGACACATTATATTTAAAATGTTCTCTAAAAGCCTGACATACTATTAAGATGTCTTGAATAACAATACACAATTGTACACACTGTTCTATTCTTTCATTTTCTCATGAGCCAGAAATGCAAAACATGGTATTTTGTGTTTATATTAACTGCCCTAAGTCAATCAGAAACATCTATCATACTATCTTTGAAACTTTTATTCAGCTCATCTGATCTAAACAAGGCAAGTAATTTTATATAGTTATTTAAATCAAAATGTAAATCAAACCACATATGTACTTACCAACAAAACCCCAATACAGCTTCAAAACCCACTGCTACTGAGTCAATTCCAACTAATAGCAACCCCCAGTGGGTTTCCAAGGCAACAAATATTTATGGAAGTAGACTGCCCCATCTTCCTCCCAAGGAGCAGCTGGTGGGTTTGAACTGCCAACCTTCTGGTTAGCAGTCAAATGCCTTAGGTACTGTGCCACCAGAGTTCCTAATATAGTTTACATGTTGCCAATAATCAAATTTTAGAAGAAAGTCTTGATTTATACTGATTTCAGTTTAACAAAACTAAATTGAATCTGCAACAATGGCACAGTTTTAGTTTTTGTTATGTGTTTTTTGGACCAATTTAAGGGCCGACTCAATGGCACGTAACAACAACAACAACAAGGGAGAGAATAGTCAAGATACTTTCTTTACAACACCTCTGTTCTAATTTTTCTAATGCAGAAATTAAAAAAAAAAAAAGTCTTGCTATAGAAAAGTTCTTTAACAAGGTAGAAAAGAAACAGAAGCAAATGGTGGTTTTAAATTGAGAAGTGCGGTGCAGTGAATAACCTGGTATGGTATTTTTAGCCATGGACTTTGTGACTCCCACCTGATTAGTGGGTGGGACCATGCAAATAAGGTATGTAAAACTCTAATGTGAGGACTGTTTAGTTTAGCTATGCTGCTGGGCTTAAAATGAGCCCTCCTAGAGACAGAAGAGGGGATCTCACATCCATGAAGAAAGAAGAGCCAGAAGTGGAGTGGAGAAGGTAGAGTGGAGCAGGTCCTTGGACCTGAGATCTCTATGCTGGACCACCTTGGCAGAGAGATGGTGGCAGTGGAACCAAGAGCCTCGAGACAGAGTGGTGGGCTTACCTGGCCCACAGAACGAGAAAGCCGACTGCCTTTGGGCAGGAGGCTTGCTGGCCGAGTGGGGGAGTACATACGCGTACCCATCAGCAGTGCTAAAAGAACTTTGTAACGCTTGCCCAAGAGAGCAGATGCCAGGCTAAGAGGCCAAGGGCCAGAGAGGTGTGTCTTAGGGCATAGCAGAGGGGAGATTGTCCTTTGAAGAATTGTATCCTGAGAGCATTTCTGAACCTGACTTGTGGCCTGTCACTTCTGTAATAAACCCCATAATCGGAAGTATTGTCTATGAGTTCTGTGTGGCCACTGTAACGAATTACTGAACTCAGCACAGAATAAGTAAGTGCCATGAGAGAGATGGCTGGTGTCAGAGTTAGGAAAAAAGGTAGGAGGGTGGTGGTATTTCTGGCCTCACAGGAATAAGCCTTGGGCTGTGGATGGTAACTCTGTTTCCCTCTTCGTGAAATTGGAAGAGGTCAGAAGATGCCGCTTCTAATGCCCTTTTTGCAAAAAGAATGATAAACCTTTGACAACAACCTTTATAAATCAGAAAGAGGTTAAAGCTAGTACCAAAAAAAAAACTTTCAAAATTAACAACAAAAAAGAATGATGCCAAAAAACGTTACCCTATTTAAGCCAAAAGACTTTTTCCATAAATAAGAACTTTTCTTTTTTTTTAAACCTAGTGCGTCATATAGAATGGAAATAGCCGAGCTTTGAGGTCACATGAAAGCTCTGGAAACTTACTTCAGCTTTTCCTCTTCACTCAATGTCTTCCACAGTTCTTCAATCTGTACTGTTGCATCCTTGATACTGGTCTTAGAATTTTCTGTGAGAAACTGAACACGATGATCTTGAACAAAAAGGGCACTTGCTGACATAGGTTTCTTGATTATTCGATTGCTAATTAAATCATAAGCTGTAAGTTGTCCAGATTTGTTATCAACCACATTTGACTTTTTGTTACAGGGACCCTCACAGAGATTCTTTGGTTCAGGCCTTGGATTATTATTACATGCTACACTTTCTTGGGGTGTTAAAATTTTCACAGGTTCAATGTTCTTTCCCATTGAATTTTTAAGTACATTTCCCTTGCTCCAGTCATCTGCACAAATTTCTAAAGATGTCTCAGGGACTGCTGCTTCCTCATTTCCCCCACTTTCATCCATATAGCCTTTATTACCAGTTTCGGATTGGATATGCTTAATAGAACCTGTAAAACAAGTTTCATCATATTTATTTTGGAAGTCTTCAGATGATAAACTATTCACTGGGATCTCTTGAAATGTATCTCTTGAGTTCTTATCAGTGATAGAATTTTCACTACTAAAATGATCATCACAATGATCACCAAGACTTAACTGATGATCCAAATAATTATCAGTGTTTTTTCCAGATTCATCATTCTGTATATCATTTTGGAAAGGAACGGATGAAGTATCAACATCTGGACAATTATTTCCAGATGATTCCATTTTATTAAAAACCGCATCTGTTTGTGCTGTTGTATTAACAACCATGCCAGCTGAGGAAACATCTGTTTTACTGTTTTCACAAGAATTTGTACTAGGTAGTGGTCCATAACAAGTCATCATCAGATTTTCAAGAGCAATCAAAACAGATTCCTAAAAATAAAAATTAACAAATGTTAGAAGAAATTATGAAAATTAGAAGTAGGCAACAAGATTTAAAACAATAACAAAAAATAAAAAATATAAACATAAAGAAACAAGTCTTTTTCATATGGAAATAGTACTATACAAATTTATAAATAGCATAAATACAAAAATTGTCTGAAAAAATGTTACCTTATTTTGTAGTAATACTTGACTTTTATCTGGTGTTAAATTTACATCCACATCAGCTGTAGGCACATCAATTTTCAGAAAGTAAATGGGATATAAACGAGTAGATTCCTTTAGGCACTTCAGATTGTAATAATGCCGGATTAACTAGAAACATAAATAATGAATAAAAGACAAAAATACCATGTAATTATTTATAATTTTATATCTTTATAGATAGTGTTGCCAACCTTAAATACTACCAAATGGGACAGATTAAATTGAGAAACTGAATGGAGGTAAATGTGTATTAGGAAAAGCAGTATCTAAGTAGAAATAGTCACTTAGAGGCCTTGAACCTACATTAAGCATGAATATTCAAAAATACAAATATCCAATGCAATTTGCTCCATGGTTAAAAGGTAATCATGTTGTGGAAGCTCTGAAAGCCTAGGGTTCAAATCCAAACTCTGGTAAATTCCTGGCTATGTAACCTAACAGAGCTCTAGTAGCATAGTGCCTAAGGCACTTGACTGCTAATCAGAACAATGGAGGTTCAAACCCACCAGCCATTCCTGGGACGGAAAGGTTGGGCAATCTACTTCTGTAGTGATACTGCCTCGGAAACCCAAGAAGGGGTAGCTATGAGTTCGGTCCAACCCTATGGCACATAACAACAACAATGTAACCTAAGAAAGTCACTTAACATCTTAGCTTCCTCACTATATATGGAGATAATAATCCACAGTAAGTAGTTATGAGAGATAATGAAAAATCTTATGTAAATTTCCTTGCACAATGCTTAATGTTATTCTATCTCTTTTTTTCTTCTTTTCCTTATTTTAGAGACGATTCTTGGAAGTAGCTTTTTTAACAATTTGACAAACGATGGAGCTGGGTTTTACTTCTGATTCAAGTGATTTTTTTTTTTTTCTATAAGAGATTACCTTTAATATGTCCTTCTGATGTATTGGTCGATTGTTTATAAAGATGAAACTCCTTTCTGGAGTTGAAAGACTTGTGAGAGAGTGGTCTGCATCAAGCTTTGGAAGAAATCCACTTAGATAAATCTAAAATTGTAATACAACATAATTAATTTAATATGCAATGTCACCAATAAATGTGGTTGCAGGGTCTAACTATACATAATACGTTAAAAAGAGAATACAAACAAACGGATTTTCATCCTAAGGTGTTAATGAGCCATATGCTTAGCATTAAATCTAAAGGAAATGCCAAAGTATGTTAAAATGATGTCCTCTTTTTAACATTTAATGATTTTTTTGGAATGCCACCTTAAGGACAACTGAGCTTTAACAAAATCTTCATGAATACATTCAAATATTTAACAGTCATAGGATATAGGATATGGAACATAGATACAAATTTTGTTCAACTCTATGTTCTGTTTTTTTTTTTTTTCCTCAAATTATGACTTTCTCCTGCTGTTTGCCTTTTTCTTTTTAACTACTTTTCCCATAAAAAAGTAACTGTTTCTATCTTTATTCTGAACATGCTATAAACCCAAAAACAAAAACCCAACTCACTGTCATCGAGTTAATTCCAACTCACAGTGACCGCCATTGGGTTTCTGAGGCTGTAAATCTTTAAGGAAGCAGAATGCCTTGTCTTACTCCCGTGGAGCAGCTGGTGGGTTTGAACTGTTGACCTTCTGGTTACCTTCTGGTATGCCTTATCCACTATGCCACCAGATGCAGGAAATAGGTTTTTATTTCTCAAAAAACACACAAACCCTCTTTGTGGTGGTTAAGTTTGTGTGTCAACTTGGCTGGGTCTGATTCAGTGGCTAGGCAGCTGGATGTAGTATTCCCCATGTTGAGACTGGTAATCAACTCCATGGTGGAATCTACTGTGAGCAGCTGAGTAGTTGCCCTAGGTCTGCTTCCTGTATATAAGGAGAAGCCTTGGGGAATGGTCTCTAGCTTATGGCACACTTGAGCCCTGCATGTAACTGAGTCATTGCTCAGCAGCCTGCCATGCTCTCCCGATCCTGGAACTTTCATGTACTTCAATTAATGGCCTGCCATGTGGTTTGGTAACATGGGGACTGAGCCTTTTTACTTGTCAGCCTTGGGCTTGTCAGTCTCAGCAGCCAGCAGCTGCCTGAATGAAGAAAAGCCTCTAGCTTCAGTGGGCCAGGAACAGGAGGCAGAGCTAAAGCCCAAGGTTGAAGGGCTTTCACCAAGCCCCTAGAGCTTGGCACTTTGAACTTGGACTTAAAGCCTCCAAATTGTAAGAATAAACTTCTGTTTGTCAAATCCATCCCATTTGTGGTATATTCTTGTCAGAGCAGTACTAGGTAACCAGAACATTCTTTAAACTAACTTCCTCAGGGCTAAACACTGATTACATTATTGTAGTTTATCTTCATTTTTGTTAGGAAACTTCCAAAATAATATTACTCATTATTGAGGTTCTATCTTTTTGTATTTTACAGATGTGTAAAGAGGGAGAAAATGAAGGAAGAGCCTAGAGGAGAGGCCCAGAGGGAAGAGAAAGATAGAAAGGGTCCAGAAGACAGGTAAAATGCTCCTACTTTCACTTCTAGCTAATTAACCTACCTAAAGCTCTTATGGCACAGTGGTTAAATGCTCAGCTGTTAACCAAAAGGACAGGAGTTAGAACCTACTACTTAGCATAGTGCCTAAGGCACTTGACTGCTAACCAGAAGGCTGACGGTTCAAACCCACCAGCCACTCCTCGGAAGGAAGATGAGGCAATCTACTTCCGTAGTGATACTGCATCAGAAACTCAAGGAGGGGTTGCTATGAGTCGGGTCCAACTCAATGGCACATAACAACAATAACTTACTCTGTGGGAGAAAAGATGTAGCATTCTGCTTCTTTAAAGATTACAGCCTTAGAAACCATATGGGGCACACATGGGTCATTATGCAGCAGCAGGTTTTGGGTTTAAAGGCAATATAGAGATTTATTAAGAATACAGTATAAAAAGCCAGACTGATTTAGTTTGAATCCTAACTCTACTACTTACTAGCTATGTGATCTTGGTCAAGTTATTTAAAATACAGGCCTATAATCTCTTATCTGAAACAACTGGAACTAGATATGCTATTGTTAAGAAGCACTAATAGCAAAATTTCAGGCTAGGTTAATAAGAAAAGGCAGTTAGAAGTGGGGATGCTATTTTTAATTAAGCAGAAATCATGAGGCTCCATATCCACAGAGCCTTAGACTGTCACCTATGTCTACGGTTATCCCTGCCCTTGGAAATAGTGTTTAAGGAGCAGCAATACTAATTTTAGAACACCAAGTGCATTATTGTCATGGTGCCAAATTGTGCCAATTTGTAAAAATAAACGAATAAATCCAGATAATCCATTACAAAATGATACTACTTAATCAACTGTAAAACTTCATAGCATTTATTAATGGTTGTATAATTTACCAGGTAACATGAGACTCTCTGAAAGTACCTGCTGAGCAGTAGGGAAGCAGTATGAAGCCTCTAAAAGACTTACTGGGTTTGTGGATTAAAATCTACCCTGAACAGAGTAAAGAGTAAAAGTTAAAAAATTAATTAACATTGCTAGTGTTTTCCTTTTACACCATCTTGGTTAGCCAATGAATAAATACTGTTACTTCCAAATACTGAAATTTGAATATGGCTTAGTATAACCTTAAGAACTAACAAACTATATTCAAGTTATATGGAAAAATAAAATGGCAAAATCATATAAAATGTTAATAAAAAATAATCATGCTTATTGTTGCTCTGGTAGCATAGTGCCTAAGGCATTTGACTGCTAACCAGACGCCTGGTGGTTCAAACCCACCAGCCACTCCCCGGAAGGAAGACTGGGCACTTCCAAATAGAGATACCACCTCAGAAACCCAAGGAGGGGTCGCTATGAGTCAAATCGACTCGACAGCAGTAAGTGTGGTTCTTTTTTCAGTTTTACTGTTGTTAATTGTCATTAAGTTGATTCCAACTTATGGAGACCCCAGCCAGGTGTGTCAAAGTAGAACTGTGCTCCACAGGGTTTGTCAATGGCTGTTTTTTTTGGAAGGAGATACCCAGGTCTTTTATGATGGTCCTCCTGAGTTCTATCACGAGACTCCTTTTTTCTTGTTTTCTATTTACTCTCTCAGAGTTGTTTCATCTACATCTATTGTTTCAACAACTACATACACACCACTGACCCTATGATAGAGATCTATCCCCACATATTTACTATCTTCAACTGGTTGTCACTGCAAATCTCAATTACTCCATATTTGAAGCTTAATGTATTATTTTAACATACTTTTACCTTGCTGTACAATTGGCTTCTGCTTAGATAGTCCTTTAAAGGAGCTGTAGTGGTGCTGTGGTTAAGGCATTCGGTGGCTAACCAAAAAAGATCAGCGGTTCAAACCCACCAGCTGCTCCGCAGCACAAAGGTGAGGCTAACTGTTTCCATAATGATTTACAGGCCTTGGAAACCCTATGGGGTCACTATGAGTTGGAATCGACTTGAAGGCAATTGATTTTTTTTTTTTTTAAATCTATTCCTTTAATGGCAGTGGGTTTGTTTTTTTGGTTTATTCCTTTAAAGAGCCCTGGTGGTGGAGTGGTTAAGCTCTTGGAGGTGCAAATCCACCAGCTCCTCCACAAAAGAAAGATGTGGCAATCTGCTTCTGTAAAGAGTGCCACCTTGGAAACTCTATGGGGCAGTTCTACTCTGTCTTATATGGTCACTATGAGTCAGAATCAACTCGATGGCAATGGGTTTGGTTTTTGTATATTCCTTTACCATGATAAAAAGCAGTATCATTTACCCAGTCTGTCAAACACTTCCCTCCTATACTCCAATGCCACTGATGTAACTCTTACTAGTCTCCTAACATGTCTTTCTTCTGTTTTAGTAACTTCCATTAACATTAGAGTTACATTTCTAAAGTAAAAATTTAAGTACTTCTGATCAGGATAGTGGAGTAAGTTCATGCATAAATTCCCTTCTCCCTCTTCCTAACTGCAAATGCATAGCATTGACAGATTAAAATCCATTTTAAAACCCTTTCAAAAGACCTAATCACATAAAGAGGAGCTCTGGCAGCACAGTGTCTAAGGCATCTGACTGCCAACCAGAAGGATGGTGGTTTAAACCCACCAGCCACTCCACAGAAACAAGACTGGACAATCTACTTTCATAAAGATTTACCACCTCAGAAACCCAAGGGGGGTGGTGGTCACTATGAGTTGGAATCGACTTGATGGCAGTGGGTTTGGTTTTGGTTAATCGCATAAAATTAAGAAAAACATCTTTAAGGATGTATCCTATATAACAGGGAGTGATGGCTGAAATAAATCCTCAAATGCCATAGGATCAAAACCAAGCTGGGTCAGTTGAAAATTAAGTTCTGGCATGGGAATAAGAACAGAAGACACCCATGCCAGGCAGGGGAATGAAATTAGTCTTTCCATTTGAAACACGTGGCTGGGATAGGGTCCTCCTCCACCAACAAAAAGATGCTTAAAAATTATGTGACTATTGTGTAGGTCTGCTTGCCAGGGTGACAAGAAAGAGCAGAGACAAAACCAAAGCCAAGATTAAGACCAAGCCAAGTGGCTAGGGAAAGACGTCTATAAAATTCTTGGCAGGATGAGAGGCATGAACTACTAATAAACACCTGGCTTTAAACTGGGGCTAAGAGGAAACTGTCAAACTACTATAGGGGATGGAAAGTTTCAGAAAGCAAAGAAACAAAACAATAAATAAAATAAACCCCCATTCAAGATGACTCTGTAAACCAAAATTTCAAAGTATTTAAAATATCAAACAATGAGAAAATTTTCTCTCAGGAAAATACAGATAATAGAGCAATATGAAAAGTATGTATAACATGATAAAAAAAAAAAAAAGAAGAAAAGAACAGCATCTATTAAAAAGAAGATACAGAAATCAAAACTTTGTTGTTATTGTTGTTAGGTGTCATCGAGTCACCTCCGACTGACAGCAACCCTATGTGTAACAGAAGGAAACACTATCTGGTCCTACACCATCCCCACAATCTCTGCTGTACCTGAGCCCATCATTGCACCCACT